AACTTTTTTACGTAGAAAACCCGTCCGGGCGTATTTTAGGGATAAGGCCGGGTACGTAGTTAACCATCCTTTAAGTGCTAGAAGATTTTCTGTCCCTTGCCTGCTGACGAAGAATCCTATACCCTTTTAGAGTCCAATTTATTACTATAATTATGGTACTAGAATCGCCTTGGCGATATGCTGGCAACACAATTCTATCATCCAGGCATATGCGAGCGAGCAAGTGAATGCTTCATGGAAGGCCCAGTGTCGGCTTGAGGAGTTGATTATATAGCCCACTGGTGCGTGGACACCTCTTGGAGACCAAACGAACATGCCAACGTGAAGGTCTAGAGTGTCGATCACGTGCCTTAAGGATACGACTGGCCATCGAACGCATTCGAACGCACTTGCTTGGCGCGCCTTGGCCATCGATCAGGTGTGGAAAACCGACACACCGACTTCGCGGCGGGGTGGTCGCGACTCACGCACTGGAATTACGGAGCACATGGTTGTGGACTAACTAGGTGACAGTTATCACAATTTCTGCGCCTTAATTCGATTATAGCGAAGGAGATTTGCGCTCTTCTCGCCGTTCTCCAGTGACGAAACTGGGTCAACACAACTAGTATAATGTTTGATTAAGCATAGGATCCCGTCTACGCATTCCTCCATGCCACTAATCCCTTTCCCATAACTGGACTCCACTTTGCACACGAGGCTTGGTTGGCCCTGGGTTGGTCCTTCAAGGATGTGACCATCACCCCGAGCACAGCCTCGTGGAGGCGCAGATGATGGCTAGGTGGGTACAGATTGGACTGGACGGCTCTAGCGTCAAGGTATCTAGTGCCACCGTCAGTTCATGAATGTGACTACTCCCGAGGCACCCCCTCTACCTACAATTTCTAATGTAGTTGTCGCTTATTGCATGATTTTATACACAACTTTAGCATCCGAATTTATGGTAACTTGATCCAGCGTTCCGATTTAAGTAGTTTTCAGATCCAGTCAAGATGATTTTATCGCTTTGACTAGTGCAAGTGGTTTTTGCTGATGGCAGCTCGCAGGAATACACGAAAGCCCCTGACAATTTTAACAGTAGTTTGCTATTCACTGGTTCGTCAGGACGGAAGAACCTGCACCACCGCCTCCCCCACCAAAACCGATCGACTACGGTCCGGAGCAGGGCTTCCTTATGTTGACAGAACCTGATGTGGGTTGTCTGGAGCTGGAGGACAAAGAGTACGTCTACTCCCTTTGCCCCTTCAAGGACGCTCACCAGCGTTCCCGTAGTGCCGGCTCTTCATCTCTATTGGGCAATTGGAAGGGCTGGGTCGATCATCCTGAGGGATCTGAGGAATGGGACATGGAGGCCAAAATGAAACTCCCCTACAAGGAGATGCTCTATGACAACGGACACTCCTGTTGGAATGGCCCGAACAGGTCGGTCAAGGTGAGTTGTTTTCATTTGGCCTGTCCACCCAGTCGGCATGTCTGCATTATCCCTCGGACAGGTCATCTTTTGTCGCGCCCTCATTATATTCGTAGCAATGCTGGTTGACTATCATTGTAGTTGCGGTGGGATTTATTTCCGCCGAATTTCACAATGACCTCCTTTTCCGTTATGCAGGTTCGGGTGGAGTGCGGTCCCGAGAACAAACTTCTCTCGGCCGACGAGCCATCAAGGTGCTCCTATCGTTTTCGTTTGCAGACCCCTGCCGCCTGTCATCACCATCCTGACACGCTACTTGCTCATATGCACACTGAATTGTAATTATTCGTCTCATGTTTTCTCTGTCTTTTTCGGTGTTGGGGGTTAGTAATTCTAGTATTGGTGGATTCGTTTGTTACTGTACTTTACCATTGCCTGTTACCACTTTTGCCACATTTTTAAATGCTATCGAAAACCGGGTGTCGTCCTCCCTCAGACTTGAATGGTTATATCAACGACTTTTTGCTAAATTAAACTAAACTGTCTCGGGCGCTGTAGTTTGGTGCAGAAGTACTTGGCCAACAGGCAGGTAATCTTTTGTCCTCGTTCGCGCAGCCCTTATTACACTCTACCTGACAGTCAAAAAGTTCGCCGTAGAGCGTGGCTGATCGCCCGCCAAGCAGACAGGTCCTTAAAGCTAGTGGCATCGTGAGTTTCACGGCGGCAGGGGGACGGTAGTGTAGTCTTCAGCCGCGCGCGATCAAATGACGTGAAGAGAGAGGAAACTGGTGATGCGGCCAGCAAGCAGTGTGCAGACTACAATCAGTGACCGATCTCAGGAAATATTAACCGAAATTCTGAAATGCCTTTTCTCTTGTGGAGGATTACTTAAGTGGGGCTGCAATATTGACCGTCTTGCTACGTAATCTCGTGATATTTCAGACACGACAAAGTGTCGGCTTTCGAATGCACCTCTTCGGCCGCCCGCAGTAACCGCACTCTACAAAAATGACTACTTAAGTACCATGCACTTTATCAATTTTCGATACCCTTTTAAATTCAAATATATTTTGTGGAAGACCTCCATAAGAATATTATTCCTTGTTCTAATTTTGGTACCAAATCGTGCCTTCTTCAAATTTTACACTCGAAGAAAGGGTATCTTTTGGTTTTAATTTTTCGAACTTGATCTGCCATTGCATTTTTTGGGTTTTCAGTCTACTAACTATATACCTTCTGTGCAAATAAAACCATGCATCCCTTTATACCACTAAGGAAATACCATATGGGCCTCATGAAATGTTGCAACGGACGTGGACTATGTTGCGTATTTGGTGAGCAGCACTATTAAACAGGCAGATACGATGCTATTCGTATGGACATTGCACGGTCTCGAAAAATTTTACAATTCCGAGCATTTTTCGGAACCGAAGTATACCCTTTCTTCGAGCATAACATTTTAAGCGGACGTGATTTACTACCAGATGAATGCAAGAGAGAGTGTCTTTGTGCATATATCCTGTAGAATATTCTTAACTTTGTAAGGGTATCGAAATTCAATAGAAAAAGTGCACATTAATTAAGTAGGCATTTTTTCACCAAGTATGATTATTGTAGACGACCGAAAAGAAGTGCATTCAAAAGCCAACACGCTCGCACGTCTGAAATATCACGGGATTACTTCGTAAGACGGAGAAATTCGAGAATGCGATTCAGTGTGAATATCTCGTCCGCACGCCCACGTCCAGCACGGAATACGGCGTGGTTGGACCTCGTCCTTGAGTCACGAACAGCCTGGAATCGCCTGAGTAGGGCAATAGCGAAGATCTTCGCAGCAACGACGATGAAGCTTATGCCGCGGTAGTTCTCGCATCTTGTCTTATCTTCCTTCTTGGGGATAGGTACAAGGATGCCTAAGCCCCAGTCATCAGGAGCAACCTCGTCCCTCCACACCCGTTCAGTCAGCTCATGGAGCCAGGGCGCCAGAGTGTCGACACAAGACTTGAAGACTTCAGCGGGTATACCGCCTTCTCCGAGTGCCTTATTGTTACGTAGCTTTCGTATGGCATCTACGACTTCT